CCCAGTTTTTAAGAGACATATGAAGCCAAGTGATGTGAATTCTATGGTGTGTCAAGAGGAAGAACAGATGAAGCAGAATGTCTGTACAGGAAAGAAGGGGAAAGGAGCCATTCTGAAGGAAGCTAAGAGTTCACCAAGAATGAGACTTAGTTTTGGAAGAAGCAACTTCTCAGAAAGCAAGCTACCTGAGCTCAGATCAGGTACAAGTTAAAAAGGAAAAGGACCAGGCAAGCGGTGGTGGCCAGGCCTTTAATCCCAGCACTCGGGAGGCAGAGGCAGGAAGATCTCTGTGAGTTCAAGACCAGCCTGGTCTACAAGAACTAGTTCTAGGACAGCCTCCAAAGCCACAGAGAAACCTTGTATACAAAACAAAACAAACAAACAAAAAGGACAAGGGCCAACCAGTACACACATTTCTTACATACTTGCTGCCAAGTTTTTCATTTCCCTAAACAAGTTTGTTTGAACCAAATGCACCAGATGTGCTTGCTCACAAGTGGGCGGGAGGTTCACAGGCTAGAGGATGCATGTTTGCCCTGGACTGGACCTGATGGGAAATGAAATTAACTATGGGTTTTCCATCTTAAACCCATGCCATACTTGATTCTGGGCCATTTCCTAGGAACCTGTGTGTGGACCTGGCCAGAATTCAATTAAAGCTTGCTTCAAATTTGGCTATAAACTGTGGTAGTGGTCTTATTCTCACTGCTAGGATTAACAATACTTACACTGATAGTCAAAAAGATGAAGACAGGTTACAAACAAAACATCCTCAGGAAGAGGACTGTAGAGAATGATGCTTTCCACATCTCTTGTGTTTTTATCTTCATAGTAGCTATGGTGGCTTGAGTAAGAATGGCCCATATAGGCTCATATATTTGAATGCTTATTTACCAATAAGTAGCACTATTTTAGAAGGATTAAGAAGTGTGGTCTTGTTGAAGAAAGTTATGTCCCCACGGGTAGGCTTTGAAGTTTTACAAAAAAAAAAAAAAAAAAAATGAAAAAAAAAAAACCCACACCAGGCCCACCACTTCTGACTGCAAATCAGGATGTAGGTCTCAGAAATTTCTCCAGACCACATCTGCCTGCAACCAAGTTCCCTGCCATGATGATAATGAACTAAGCCTCTGAAACTGGAAGCAAGCTCCCAATCAAATTCTTTCTTTTATAAGAGTTGACTTGGTTATAGGGTAAAAGGGCCAGCTAAAGAAACACACTCTGGCTCTGAACCCAGAGCCAATGAAAAACAACACACCCTTGCTCTGAAACCTGAGCCAGTGAAAGAAATGCTTTAGCCCTGAACTCAGAACCAAAAAAAACCACTCTGACTCTGAAATCAGAGCCAAAGAAAGAAATATACCTTAGCCCCGAAAATAGAGTAAAAAAGCTAAAAAGGGCCAGTGAAAGAAATAGTCTGGCCCTGAAACCAGAGTCAACTTTGCTCCTGACCAACTAAACTAATCAATCAATCCCTGAGCAGGAAAAAGAAAATTTTCTCCCTGGGAAAACAACTCCATCCCTAAGAAGCCCTATAAGTACACCTTGCAGGCTGTCTTTCACCACACTGGCAGAGACAGCCACTCTCCTGGACTCCACTGATGGGGAATGTACTGTGTAT